GGGGGGGGGGGGGGGGGGTCACAAAATTTGTGACTCTACATTAGGGATGAGCGAGGTTCATGCCCAAACATCGATGTTTCTGACTAACGTAACGAAATTTTTCATTTTTTAGGATAATAATAAGGTTGATTGATTAAGATTCAATAAAATAATAATTTATCCCCAATCAGGAGTAATTATTTTCTACGGTATGTATGTTATAAATAATAAGTGAACAAGTCTAGTCATCTATTGTTTTTTAATATTTAAATTTTAAGAAAATTGAAAAATTTAAATTTTTAAAAATTATTGCAGCTAACGGAAAATATTCAATATATTTTTTTACATTAATCAAAAATCCTGTTTCGAGATTCAAAATTTAACTCTCCAGCAGTACTTATCATTGAAACGTATGTTCCTCCGGTTGTATTTTTTAAATATATAATTTTCAATAAAAACGAGAACAAAAAAAAAATTTAACAATTTGTTTTTTGTCCTGTGTAATGAGAAAAACATCGATTCACAACATTGAAAACATCAATTTGAAAAACATCAATTCTCCGATAATCGATGTTTTTTAAAACACCGCCCATCCCTACTCTAAACCTCACGGTTTCATTCGTCGAGCGGGAGTCTCACACGAGACGACTGTACCTGAGCAGGTTTTTCCCTTGTCCTTCCAATGTGGTACAGAGGGTTGGGGGTGGAAAGGGAACAAATTGTAAAGACCCGAAAGGGCACACGAAAGAAACTCTACAAAAAAAAAATGAAATAAAATAAAACCATCATCAACTCACCAACTTTCTCATCAGGCGGTGCATCAGCATTACTCAAACTCCTGGTGAACTGTCCCCTCTTAGCAAGCCCATTGTGCCCATCTCCAGGAACTTGATGTCTCGATGAAGTTTTCTCATACGAACTGCTGGGACTGGCATAATCACTGCCACTAGTGCGTGATTTATCGATCGTGGAATTGTCATTAGCACCGGAATTGCCATCAGATTTCGACGTAGTCGAGTGCATTTCAGTTGTCACGGTGTCGTCGTGCATCCGACGTTGTTCATTTTCACGTTTAACGTGATGTGACGATTGGGTAGTATCGTGTACGTTGGCCCGTGGGTTTTTAGCAGTGTCGGAGGTGGCGGTTTGGGAATCAAAGATATTTGAATTAGCTTTACCGGGTCGGGGTGCTCGGTTACGGGGCCTAAGTGTATCGTACGGGCCAAATCCGCAGTTCTCGCTGCACTGGCTCTCACTTTCCATTGAGTATTCGTAATATTCTAGGGTGTCGCTTATAGCGACATTTCTCTTGCCTCCCTGATCCTTCTCCGATTCAACTTTACGGAGATGCTTTTCGCGCTCTTGTTTCTGGTAAGCAAGGGGTCGATGCTTTTCGTACTCTGGCGATGCATTTGAGTCATCTTGGTGTTGATGGGATGAGTCTCCTCTCTCGCTTTGTAAAGGCTGGAAAAAGTCACGACACTCTGGACAACTCGTCTTGCGATTCTTGTAGTCAATGTCGTCGTTGTCGAATCTAACGGGGCCAGGGTATGAGCTTGATCTGTCCGTACGCATTTGTATTTTAAAGTCAACGTAGTCCTTGGACGAATACCTTGGACGGAATCCACGTGGTCGTTTATCAACCTCGTCCTTGGAATTATTACGGTAATCTGGGGATACTACAGTTTCAACCGAGCCAAAATCATCGTCAGAGCCCATGAAAAAGCTTGGTGACTCTGGTTGTTCTCTGCCAGGACTCTCGAGATTTCTCATATCTCTTGCCTCCGGGCAACTGCTGTTTCGACGTCTTCTTGACAGCCGTCTGGCGCGCTCCCAAGCGTCCTCGATCTCCTCGTCGTCTGGTACAAGAGTAGGAGTTGACTCTGCACGCTCCAGCATCATACGCTTGCTCTGCGAGAAACTCGGCACTTCTAAACTGCTCATTCGTGCTCTTCGATATGCGTGAGAATGGGAATCGTAGTCCAGGGACTGTTGCAAATCTCTCGTGCTTCTCCGTCTTCTCCGGCCTGGAGGACTTGATTCATTGCTCGAGTAATTAGCGGATGGATCGCAAGTTGAGTAGTCAAACCTCCCTGGGAAACTACTACTTCTGCCCCGGTAATCGTCGTGAATTTCCGACTGACGAGACATCCCAGATTGGGACTTGTCGTTCTCCGAGTACAAATAATCAACACTTGAATTCTTGCACTCATCGTAATTGTCCTCCAAGTATGAGTCTGTACTTTTAGTTCGACGACGCAAGGACCTTCTGGGATTGTACTCCTCAGAATCCAATTGACTCGTTCGTCGTCGAGGGACGGAATTATCAAAATTACTTGTTCTACTTGTTGAAGTATCTACGACATCGAAATTACAGTCAAGAGGATCAATCAAGCAGGGACAGGGATCTGTGTTGTTGTCGTCGATGCTGCAGTAGATGTGGTCACTCTCCAAGAGATCGTAGAGGTGTTCCTCTAGACTCTTTGCCTTGCTATTTGGTGACTGACTACGATTGGACTTTAGGCTTATCTCAGCCAGGTGAGCCTCGTATTTCTGCTTATTCTCTTGACGCGCGATGACATTGCGATAGGCGTCGTCTGAGAAGCTACGGCAATCGAGCCCCATGGATGACAGTCTATTCTCAAACGCAGACTCCAACTTGGAGGGGTAGAGATCGGTATCGTGATAGAACTTCTTCTCGTGATCCTCCTCGTGGTCTGCCGTCTCCGAGGTCTGGATGGAGCTGGAGCCATTCGAGTCGTAGTAAGACTTGCTGCGATCATTCATAGATGGAAGGTGTTCTCCACTGTTCGACAAATTCTTCTTGACTTTCCTCCTCGCTGTTCGCAAGCTGTCGTCGCTGAATATATTCGATACAGCCTCGTAATCAACACTTTTGGCGCGTCTCGGGTACTCCATGTCGATTCTATCGTGCCCATCGACAAACGAATCGTCAGCAACGTTGTAGTCAAAACTTCTTGCTCTCATCTCCATGAGCGATCGCTTCTGATAATTTCCAAAATCACGATGTTTCAATCGGGTTCTCAGAAACTTTCTGTCTAAACTCGCCGTGTCCTCCGGATGATTGACACATTCTTCAACGTGTATCTCAGGTATGAGTGATCCTTTCTTCTTAAAATTCATGTAATTCATCGTGCAACTCGGCTCACTCGACTCAGGACTGCTCCATCTCACGAGATTGTCATCAAATGTCTTGGATCTTGCAAGTGGCACACGCATCTTTCTGTGCATCGAGCGAACGACTGCGGATTTGCTCCGTACGAGGGGTTGATGGTAGGAGGTGGGATTATTATGATGCTTGTTTGGGTTTATACAGGTCTTAGTAGGACAACTGTTGCAGTTTAATTGGCAATGGCATTCACTGCTGGGTACCCTAATTTTGTGCCTACGCCTATTGCGTCTAGGGGTTTGGGTCAATGGGGATATGACACTGGGTATCAATACGTTTTTAACTGTCGGTCTGCAAACAATTTTTTTCACTCTTTATTCATGTTCATTGTTTCAATGTCGTTGAGTGGCGTATTAACTAAGCCCATTCTTTACCTTTGCATCGATAATGTCGGCTAATTAATGGTACTAATTGCTCGGATTTTTCTAGTGTTTGAACCAGATTTTTTTATTATTTTGGTTTCATGTTTTTCTAGAACAGAATGGGACACGATTAAATGGACATTGACGCTGTGCTGGGATGTGCGACTATTTCTAGCTAATTGCTGAGAGTCGAGGGGCTTGGATGGGGGGGAATGGGCCACTAAGGGGGGGAAGGTGTCCTAATGTCCACCGAAGCAAGCGGGAAATGGAGAGTGCAACTACTGGGTGTACATTCCTTGCGTAATGTCCATTTAATGCTGGTTATTAGTGGATTTTAACTACTGGAGACTTGATCAATCATCCCAGTAGTGTCTTCATCAATTCGAATGACTAATTTGGATTAAATTTTGATTCTTTTTTTGCTTTCAAAGAAATAGCTGAGAGGTGACACTCACATGAAGGTTCTAGAGCCACGCGGCCGCTCCGACTGCGTGCTGAATGTACTGCTCGCCACTGATGCAATACTCTCCATATCAGAATCACCAAAATCACCGAGAACATCTTTGTCGGGACTCAGGTGTCCTCTTCTTACTCTGGGCACTCTGTGACCGTGCATTAGGGATTGGGGCTCGTGGCCTATTGACAGGAGATCAGAGTCTGATAGCCCACTGTAATGTCTTTCCCATCCTAGCAAAAGGTTAAATAAAAATGTAAAGAAATTGGCAGGCGAAATTAAACCAAAGGAATCAATAAACCAAACAATTGATCGAGAAATAACTTCGTGTGCTCTGGTTGAAGCGTAAGTGGGGAAAATTGCAGTGCGATAATCAAATAAAAAACACATTGGACGAGCAGTAAATAGATTATTAGACACAGTGCTCCAGGTGATTCCAAAGATGCGATGATGCATTTTGGAATGATTCAGATTTCCTCTCTTTCTCGTGACAATTTCATTTTGATGATACAGTAGAGGCTTCGTATGAGATACCTTAGGGACAGTGGGACAGTGGATTTCCAGGAACCCCTATGCCCCCACTACGCACGCCCATAGAGAGGAGAAAAATAGGGATCAGCGGGTTTCAAATAAGGTACCTCGCTCGTCGCGCCCCAATTCAATGAAATTTTCATTTTTACTGAATGAATATCGATAACTAATCAATTTATGTGTTTAATGCTTTGAATTTGTTTCGCCCGCTTTCGATTTTCTCTCTAAACACAACCCCGCGTGATAGAATGGCAGCTGATGTTGGGGGATTGTTGGTGGACTCGAGAATAATCACAGACGAAAAATTACCATTCTTCGATGAGAAAAGTGAACAAAAAATTGATGTATATTTCCATTACTTGAAAAAAGTGGTGTGACCCCCCCTTGAGGTCATTAGACCTTTATGATCACTTCGTTCGTCCCTCCCGTTTGACCCTTAACACCGTTTGATCCTGATACCTACTCTCTTCCCGTTGAAAAATGATCGGAGCCAGTGGTGTCTATTGGTAGTGGGATATATAAATGAGTACTCAATGCAATGGATTAAACTTGAAATATTTTATTCTTTAAAATGGCACGAGGGTGAAACGTCTGTACTCCACGGATCCCTCCAGGGGGCTAAAAGCTAGTCACAAAGACCAAAAGAAAATTCGTCACCTAATGAAAGACCCCTCGTTCTTTCTTCCTCAGAAAATATTGTTTATGTTTATGTAGACTCTCGGGTGACTCTCTGGCGCCGTCCACGTCGATTCGTTTTTGTAACCGTCATTTGAAATAAAGAATTAAACGCAATAATCCAATAGTATCTTATAAGAAGCCTACGGAACATGAACATTCGGGAGGCGATAAAACTGCCGAGAGTGGGGGTAGGCCTCGAGCGCTCGGAGCGCGAGGTATCTTATAGAAAGGTATCTTATACGAAGCCTCTACTGTACTAGGTAACGTACCTCCCATTCCCGTGCTCCTGTACGTCGTATGCATCTGTCTGTTCCTGTGCCTCATCAGTCTCGCTCTCTCCTCGAGATCCTGCGCAACTCTCTCCTTCAATGCTGCATGCAATTTAGCAGGTATCTGTGGCAATTGTCGTTTTTTGGGTGATCCAGTGGGCGTGGCAGTAGCTGATCGCGATCCAAATCTGAAAGACAGCAATTAACAGATAATCACACTAATTGAATGCAATAAAGGATGGCGGGGGGAAGGGGGAGTACTGAATAAATTCAAACTGATGGTCTGTGTGGGAGTAATTACACAAGGCAATAGAAGTACCTGGCTGGCATGTAGCCATGGGAATAAGGGATGGATCTCTGCTCTGGTGGTGATAGTGAACGATGACCAGTGGGACTCTGCGATCTACCCCGGTAGTGAAGGTTCGGCGAGTCCATGGGGGCAGCGCTCTGGGATCTGTGACCCATCATACTGCGCGGCGCTTCGTCCTGCCAAAAACCGTCCATTAATTTGGGTTCCACTGGGGGTTACATTGTCGGGCATCAAGTGATGGGCGAATGTTTACAAATCGTGGATTTGCACTTGCGAAATTACTTGAGGTGTTCTGACAGACTTGGCTTTCCAACATGACTGTTGGATTTTTCAATTTTTTAATTCAAGTGAGTCTAAAGCTCATTGTTTTGAAAATGGATGTGAAGAGGTTTGGGAAGGGCTATTCCAAACGAAAAAGGTTCTCTGAGATTTTTATGTAGAGTCTTTCCGCTCGATAAATATGCTTACTGTAATCTTGATGAAATTGAAGTTATTTTCTGGTTTTAATCAATGTTTATTATTCCAAAATTAATTTACAACAGTACTTGAATGAATCCAAAAATTTACATTGAAGAAATCATGAACAATTTTGTTTGGTTTTGCCAACGTTTCGAACTCTCAGGGAGCTCTTCATCAGGGCAATATTTATTCTACACTCATCATAAAATTGAACTGATTTTCTGGTTTTAATGAATGTTTGTTATTTCAAAATTAATTGACAATAGTACCTAAATTGTCCTTTCCCTTAACTTCGGTCCAAACAGCGGTGTGAATCCAAAAATTTACGTTGAAGAAATCATGACCAATTTTGTTTGATTTCGCCAACGTTTCGAACTCTCAAGGCGCAATCTCTTCATCAGGGCAATATTTATTCTGCTCCTTGAGAGTTCGAAACGTTGGCAAAATCAAACAAAATCATTCGTGAATTATTCAATGACAATTTTTGAATTAATACCGCTGTTTGGACCGTTTTTGGCTGGGAGAGGGTGAAGAAAGGTTTATTACTGTCCTTACCTTTCTATACGGTGAATAAGACATGGACATGGAGACTGGTTGTTCCCTCGATATCATTAATGCGGCTCTCTTTCTCCCCTGGGGTGACATATCCCTCCGGCTCCGATGCTCACTGTCCATACAAAGATCCCTCTCAGGTGGCGGGCTGGAATAGTGGCTGCTCCAGCATGCGTTCATGGTATTTTTGTTTTATGCATATTAGTGTGTAGAGCGTGATGGGAATTATTAATAATCTATCTGAATGAGGTGAGTGCATTTATCGGGTGATCAACAATCCTACGAAGCGTCGCTCAAACATCTAATTCCTCTCAGGTTTGAGCGGATGGCTTTGAAAACATCGTCGTCTCCCGGGTCTTCCACTCTGCTTGTGTGCTCAAGCTCAAGGGGCAAAATGTGAGGAATGAAGTGAGACCTGGAGGCGACGACATTTTTTTTACACTAAAAAAATGAAAAAGAAAGAAGCGATGGGCAGGCTTCATTGAGATTTTTCGTATGCAAGAAGCGATGACACGATGATGCTTCTCTACACGTCTCTCACTGGCCTTTTTTTTCACCAGCGCAAAAGTTTGATCGTACCATCGACCTTTGACCCAATTTTCTACCGAATCAATTCGAGAGATACTTGCATTCACATTTTTTTCACGATTTTTCTTTCAGAAATTGAAGCACACGGAACTTGAAAGAATTCAAATTAATTTTTTGACGACTGAGTATCTACACTAATGAAATCGATGCAGTTGTGACAGAGTGAGGATTGAATAGAAAATATAAAAGTAACCGTACCGCTTATAATTTGACGGCATATTATGAAACCTAAAAAATAATAAACAAAGCACGAGATTAAAACCCAAAATGAATGTGAGGAGAGAAGACTGAACGAAAATTGGACATCGCGAAACATGAAGAGAAGAGTTTATCGAAAAATTTATTATAAATGTATATTGTGAGACAAGTAGTCCTCATTTCTGTCCGGATAGTCAGTTAAAATCAAATGTCAATGTTTAATTGTACACTGTTAGAAAAAAAATGAAATTCCATGGACAGTTGATTAGTAATTTTCAGGACAGTGACTTTGAATGCGATTTAGGGGGAAAAACACAGCAAAAACGAATGTTTGAATTTGACATTTGTCTGAATAAAATGAAAATTTGTCTGAATTTCAAACATGAATTAAGATGGTTGGACACTTGTTCGTCTGAAATTCAGACACATTTTCATTTTATTCTGCCGTTTTTTATTTACTGAAAAATGACTACCAAAGGTGTGTGAAATTCAGACATTCGTTTTGCTGTGAAATCGTGAAACTTGCGGTTTCACTGAAAATTCAGGAAATTTCCAGAATTGTAAGCAGCATAAAGACGAGAATTCCTTAATTTATTTGAATTCCCGATCTAATATGAATATTCAGTGCTCAATTACGTTAAACTTTCAGCGAAATCTGAAATTTCATTTTTTTCCCGTCTGAATCATTTCTTCATTTTCAGGGAAAAATGGAACTGAAATTTACAGTTCTCTTTGATTTTTCCACGAAATTCCTTGAAATTTCAATGGTAATTAAATTCTATAAAAATTTCCGAAAAGTGTACCGGAAATTTCAGAAAAATTTTTAACAGTGTGTGTGGAGATCGAATTCTATTATTCGACGTTCGATTTCGGTACTGAATTTTGAGAAGAGAATGAGGAAAGATTACTCATGATACAATTCATCGAACAATAGAAGGGTTTTTACTAAACTTTTCTCTTCATGTAGAAATTGGGAGGGGCTGGGGAATTTTTGGTGCAAGCACAGTTCGCCCACACGTGCATAATTGTATGTCTGCGTACGTAGGCGTGCATTATTAATTACCGCCCCGGGACAAGGTGGATATTGAGGATGCCAGAGGGAGGCAGAAGGGATGAAGGTGGGAAGAGACACGAGTGGGACTCGGGAAAACAAACTTGGCACGGTACTATTCAATTATGGTCTTACTTCCGACATTAACAACAACGTTGCCCTGATCAAATGTTCCAACAACCACGCTCCTCAACTAATACTATTGCGAGACAAACGATGAATGAGAACTGCTCTTTTTTTTGGAGTTTGCGGTGATGCGTTGTTGCGATAAGAAAATTGTTTTCGCGATATTTTAAAGGGAATTTCGTCAGTTTCAGCGGAATAATTTGCCTTGACAGAAACAATATTATTAATATTCTTTTCAATTCAATTTTTTTTTCACTGTTTGAATCATTCTAGGGATATTCTCCTTCATCATTGAATTTCTTTCTATCAAACTGGCCAATTTTCCTCAAGTATCTATTCCAATCCATCCAATATTCCTACGTGGAAATCAAAATATGTTTGCTAAAGTAATTTTCTCTCGCAGTGCATGCGCGGAGAAAAATTTTCTAGAAAAATTCATAAGCGAGTCACAATCCGCACACTTGGAAAAATTATTGTGTTACAGCAGAAAAATTATGGTGCCCCCAACAATTTTTCTGGTGCTACACGATAATTTATTCAAGTGTGCGAATTGTGACGCAAGTCTGACTCGAGTGTGCAAATGGTGCTAGCACATGAATTTTTCTAGAGAATTTTTCTCATTGCGCGACATCAGAACTTTTCGTCGAAATTTTTCTCAATTAAAAAGCATTAATTTTGTGAGAAAGACTCTTGCATCGATTAACAAAATAAGCAGAAAATTTTGTGTTCGCAAATTGGACTAAACCTTCAGAAATTTCCCTGTGAACGATTTTTCAAGTTTGAAATTAAAATTTTAATAATTAAAAAAATTGTAAAATAGGATAATTAACGAAATATAACTATTATTGGATGAAACAGCAGCAATTGCTTCCACAAATTTTCGTTCATCCACAAATATTCCTCGGCTCGTAAATTATCAGGGTTCGTATCAGTTGTCGGCAAACACAATTGACACATGCATTGAAAAAAAAAAGAGTAGTGGGGGATATGACATTGATGGCAGTGGTGGATTGAGTTATCAATGCACGCAGTGGAAACCTTTGCGGATAATCCCATTAGGCGATATCGAACGTCATTAAATATGTGCAGGAAGCCGGGGCTAGCCCCCACCGGTTACTCCCTCGTGTCCAGAGCATCGCGGGGGCCCTTCACTGCCCACCCCCTTCTTTCCTACTCCACCTAGTATTTCCAAGTTTCAATTATTCGGCATATTGCCACGCTCGGTGCATTAATAATGGGGTGGGGTGGTACTGTTGGATTAAGGCCACTCCTGGATTACACGTGCAGACAGGACTTGCGGGAACATTCAGTTTTCAATTTTTTTTTTCAATTCCCCTCTTCCGCTTATAATTTTTTTCATTATTTTTTTTCAATAAGGGAATTTTCGATGCGCGAATGGAAAAATATTCTCAAATCACTGGCATTATCTGATGTATATTTATTTTCACAGAATAATGAGCTGCAATGTGCAGTTCCCACTGAATTTTTCAGCAAATTGTGAATTCCAAATAACAAAATTCCTCTAAAATTTCAGTGAAACGCTCATTTGAGGAACATTTTCAAAATGTGCGCCATCGATCCAAGAATTAAACATTATTCATTCGCGAATATATCCTACGATTCATATTCAATGAAATGCAATACACTGGGGAAAAAAAGTTTTGACATCATCAGTAATTTCCACTGACATCGTCACTGTTTTTTCCGACCCCATCTCCAATTTTTGGAAATCTGTCACCAAATTTCAGTGATAAAAATCATTGATCATCGAGGTCACTCTAGTCAGCGTCCAGTAGACATAAAAAACGAATGTCTGACTTCCACAAACTTTTTGTAGGCATTTTTCAGACACTAAAAAACGTCTGAATAAAATGAAAAAGTGTCTGAATTTCGGACGAACAGGCCAAACATGTTAATTCATGTTTGAAATTCAGACAAATTTTCATTTTATTCAGACGTTTTTTGGTGTGCACGGAGAGAAATGTTCAGTAAAAATTACGGAACGCTTTGCAAAAATTCCGTGACAGTTCTGTAAAATTTCCTACAGCCACATTTCGCTCCGGAATTACGGAAAAGACAGGTAATTTTTATAGAATATTTCTCTCCGTGTATGAAAAATGTCTACAAAAGTTGTGTGAAATTCAAACATTCGTTTTTGCTGTGTATCACAAATAATTATCGACAGATTCCCAATAATCAGCGGCAAGTCCCAGGAAGTCACTGCCATCTTCCTGAACAACAGTGACATGCCCCTGAAAATACAAAACTCATTTCTCTCCGCGTAGAGCGATTAAAACAATGGAAATAAGGTACCGACTACTGAATGAGGGAGTTGAAATAAACGACGGAAGTCGAGCAGCATCGGCGGATATCCGAAAACGATAGTCCCCCCTCCCCCCCACGTATTCAGAATACGAATTAACGAGGTTGAAGCAATTAAGGACACTCTCGACACGTCTCTAAGGTTACCGGCACCGTGGACCACCGTTGGCACTGGAATTTTCTTGCGAACCCCCCGCCAGCAAGAGAGAGAGCCCACCGCCAAGGTGGAATTGTAATTTGAACGAGGGAGTTTCAACGAACAAAAAAAAGGCCTCTCCGTGCATCTTAGAATTAATTACGTATTTTCACAAATGAGACACTCACGATTTGTTATTCATCCAGAGTTGACGACGAACTTTCTCGCAGAATTTCGCTTCTTTCATTATTCCCAGATATAAATTGATATTCCAAACAATTCTACGCTAAATCCTTCGATTTTGATTTTCACTCGTTTGTTTTGGTATTCATTGATCCAAGCGGGACGGTATGCAATAGCAGTGGCGAAGGGGTGAAAACAATCACAACACTTTTTGTTTCGGCTTTTCAGTCAGAGTTGCGAGTGAAAATTGTTTCTGTTGTTTGGATATTTCAATTTTTTTTATTCACTTAAAAAAAAACGATTATTCAAAATAAAAAGAGTAAAAAAAGGGGGTAGCTCCGCAGCGAACGGCGCTCCCAGGCCAACTGGCATGTCAATTGGCTTGTTGCCCAGTTTTATAACGCGGTACTACCCTCCTCATCGTCTCTTGCATCTCCTCCTGCCCCTCTGTTCCAGCCACTGGGCTTTTGTGTTCCTCCAGTTTGTAACCCCTTTTCATGCATCTCGTTTGATTTTAAAACCCTCCGGAATATTCTATTGGGGCGTAAAATTCCGGATATTTCGATTTCATTAGCTGCAATTGTCCGCATTGAGGCCAAATGAATATTGTAGGGTAATTGAGAGTTTGTTTGGAGGAATGGCATCATTCGCGAGTGATGCTTTTTTCCGATGAAAACACTGAGTTTGTAGGAGAAAAACGAAATGCCTGGAAATGCGATAGGAATTCCATCGTGACGCATGCTGAAGACACACCGGATCTTCCTCACTCCGGTTGAGTATCGACACATTCCCGATTTCTATCCTATTTTCGCTTTGGTGAGTCAGCCGTTCGGGCGTATTTCATCCACTTGTGTGTACGGAGACGGGTACAGAGGTTTTTAGGGCCACCGGCTGCGTGCGAGGCGATTTACGAGGAGGCGTTACGCTCTTTAGAAATAAACAAATTTGACTTTTTGGGAGACGATTGCGTGGGTGGAGGATGAGTCGGGGGATTTTGCCGTTTTTGGACGTGTGGAGGATTTCCTTGTTCTGGTGGTGCAGAATGAGTAGATTATTTTGGTAATGTGGTTAGAGGGAAGAGTCAGAAGATATTTTTCGACATTTTCTAATGAATTGAGTGGTTGGAGAGGCATTTGGGGATTACTTTTGATAGTTTTGAAGACATTTGTGAGAATACTCTCAATTACAAATAAACGAACTTGAATTTTTGGGAGACGCCTGCGTGGGTGGAGGATGAATCCGAGATTTTGCCGTTTTTGGAGATGGGGAGGATTTCCTTGTTCTGGTGGTGGAGAATGAGTAGATTATTTTGGTAATGTGGTTAGAGGGAAGAGTCAGAAGATATTTTTCGACATTTTCTAATGAACTGAGTGGTTGGAGAGGCATTTGGGGATTACAAATGCGCGTAAATTCTGAATACCTTTTGATAGTTTTGAAGACATTTGTGAGAATACTCTCAATTACAAATAAACGAATTTGAGTTTTTGGGAGACGCCTGCGTGGGTGGAGGATGAATCCGAGATTTTGCCGTTTTTGGAGATGGGGAGGATTTCCTTGTTCTGGTGGTGGAGAATGAGTAGATTATTTTGTTAGTGTGGTTTAGGAGGAAGAGTGGGAAGATATTTTTCGACATTTTCTAATGAATTGAGTGGTTGGAGAGGCATTTGGGGATTACAAATGCACGTAAATTCTGAATACATTTTGATAGTTTTGAAGACATTTGTGAGAATACTCTCAATTACAAATAAACGAATTTGAATTTTTGGGAGACGCCTGCGTGGGTGGAGGATGAATCCGAGATTTTGCCGTTTTTGGAGATGGGGAGAATTTCCTTGTTCTGGTGGTGGAGAATGAGTAGATTATTTTGTTAGTGTGGTTTAGGAGGAAGAGTGGGAAGATATTTTTCGACACTTTAGGATGAATTTAGTGGTTGGAGAGGTATTTATGGATTACAATACACGGAAATTCTTGATATCCTTTGTTAATTTTGTGGAAAACGAAATTTTTATATTTGAGAGAATATTCTCAAGCAATTTAGGGGTCACTCAGTATAGACCACGCAAATCACGTAATAACGAGAAAGAATGCATGGCAGAAATTTTTCAATATTTGTTAAAGAATAACTAAAATATTGAATATAATTATGAGAATAAGTCTGAATTTTAATTGAAATTCATTTAATAAAAGTTACTTTCCTCGCGTGTGTATTTACAACTGCTAGGAAATATCAAAGGTCATTTTTGTAGAAAATCAAATGAACTTTGACATTAAAACCTGAAATGTTTAAAAGATGGTAAAATGCTAGCGATTGCAAAAGGCTATTAAAATTGTCGGAATTTAATTCACGGACATATACATTTCAAAAAATGAAAGATTTTTGTTCACATTGCTGTAATTTAATTTAATTTTCACGTGCACGCGCACTTCTAATTCAATGTAAAATATCAAGTGTTTATTTTTCTGAAAAGAGGTAAATGTCAGAAATAATCTGAGAAATTATCAAAATCATTTTCTCCATCATTTCAATGCAACTTTTGATTTTCGGGGACAAGTCACTATTTTACATGTATATTTAAATAAAAAATTATTAATTGTAACAACTTTTTTTATTATTAATCTCGTACTTCGTCTCCTATTTAAGGTGAAAAACTACTGAAAATTGAGTTTGCTCTACGATTACTTGACTTGCATGGTAATTTTTCTCCAACTTTTATCTCCGCAGGGTATTTTTTGCTTCTAGCCATCTCAACGTCATGGGGACGAATGGAAGTGAAATTTTACCGCCGTTCGTACCGTTTAATAAAAAATCATTCTCTGACAGAAAAATTATACGAAACATCGAGCAATCATTCACGCTCACTGGGATAATTTTTGATGGAATGCTGGGTGAATTTGACAGTTTCGGCACAAATTATCCCCACGTTCAGTAAATTTTCCCGAACCAACGAAGAAAAATTGCTGAAAATCGAGCTCGCTCCACGATTAATTAACTTGTTTGGCAATTTTTCTTCAACTTTGTTCTCCGTGCAGTCCTTAGCAATGAAATTTGTTTTTCTCTGTCTAAGCGACTCAGTTCCATAATCGCCCGAGAGTAATTGAAATATCAAATGTACTTACAAAAATGTAAAACCCTAAATTTTAATTTAAAGTCGTATTGATCCAATGCAAAGTTGTTCCTAAGTCGAAAACCCGATTCCCAGGATAATCTGTACTGGGATAAAGGTGGGGTACAGAGAAAGAGGGAGAGAGTTAGCGTGGCCAGGTTGGCTTATTGGCAATTACGCTCGTGGGCTTGAGCACGCCACGCGGAAATAACCGTTGCGACGACAGTTACCGTTCCCCCAGTATCCCAGGGAATTCAGTGAGACCTCCCCGCCCTTCCCCGTCGAAATCACATACGTGAAGACGTTATGAGACTTGTAAACACGAGAACGAGTGGACTCCAAAGTTCGATCAGCAGATAAAACTCTTCGTCCGTTCGCTTCCGTCAATTGAATTCATCTCCATAATTCATCCCGTTACATTCGGGCTGTTCAGCCCCCAGAAAAACTCACAACTCCCAAAAAAAAAATCAGAATAAAAAGCCAAAGGTTTAAAACGAAAACGATGAAATTATGAAACAGAAAAAAAAAGGAAAAAAAGTTTTACCGCAACGCTACTGCGGCGCAAGTTGACGGATCAGGAGGGGTAAAATCGCGTTACTGGATTAATACGGAGGTCATGCAACACAATGTTGAAGGATGGTGGTGGGCCAGAGTTTCACGCGATTTTTGAGAGTCTCCTATAAATTTTGCTTTCACTGTTGACTGTAATTCTCTTAGTCGGGTTGATAAGGGAATTCAGAGTGTTTTTTGAGAACATTTCTTGATATTTTGTCGTGAAATTACTCAATTCCAGGAATTATTTTATCATGAATGAGGATCATATCAGTATTGGACTAATTACATTGACTGATGTTGTATGAAAATTCGAATTTCAGGCCCATTGGATTCGACTTATCTATTTATTTATTTAACACGAATACAACAGCGGAAGCCAATGATGGGATTAATGTATAGAGAAAAAATTTTAAATTTAAAGAAACATATTTAACATCACCGTTAGCGCTTTCACAAGATCGTGGACTTTCGATTTAGGGGAAAATGTTTATGAAATTTTCTAGTTGAATTTAAGTGAATTTGAATAGCTCAAGTAGAAATAAAATGACTATTTCACAAGCTACTTGACGTTTTTGTTAATTTAAAATTGATAGATATTTCTACTTGAATTTCTTCGAATTTTTTTCATCTTGTTTTTCATGAAATTATTTCCTGGTTTCCTGAAATTTCTTTCAACAAACATCTTCGTTATTTAATCATGCATTTCCAGAATTGAACAAGAATTTACTGACAAAATGACAGGAAATCTTTCTGGAAATTGGAGAATTTCTCATCAAAAATATTCATTTGAAATAATTTATTCATAATTGATCATTCATTTGATTCCAAGATATCTGCATAATTAATAGAGCTGTCATATTCGACGCATTACATTACATCTTCATCCCTAAATTCGACAGTTTCCTCATCGAGAGATTTCAAGATAAAACGTTGGAAGATTTAATTTAAAGGTAATAAAATTTCCCACTAAAAGCGTCTCTCTCTCCACGATGTCCACTGAAATCACTCAAATCCCGAACGTCTACATAATTAACAAAAGTGTCATATTGGACTGAATAAATATTGTAATTCTTCAGCAGAGACATCTCTATCTCTCAATTATGCAATTCCGTAATTAACGAGTGAATTTACGACGAAATGCCAAGAGATTTTCCGCGAAACTCATAAAATTCCCTTCAAGGAGGTTTTCGACAATTTATTCTGAAATCATTACATCCCCCACTAATTAATGCCAATCTCTGATAGAGACACCTCCATCATTGAACTGTGCATTTTCATAATTAATGAGTCATTGCGTGACAACAAAGCTCCTCCCTGCAATCTTTTATTAATTGCTGAAGTAATCTCTCAATTATGCAGACGTATCCTTTCGATTTACTTCAAATTTCCGTGTAATACCCATTTATTATTACATTTTCCAACTTAAACTGGGGACGGGAAGAGATTAAAAGTGCTTGTCGTCTTCCCACGCAATTCTGTAATTAACGAGTGATTTAATGACGAAGTGTCAACCGATTTTTTCAACTCCCGAAAAATTTCCCTAAAATTTCCCATCGAGAGAATTGAAAAAATTGAATTTTTACTCGAAAAATTGAAGTGCATTTTCTCCCGAGGAGGTTTTCTGATCGTTTCTCCTGGAATAATTATTTCCTGGTGAAATACCCATTCATTATCACTCAAACGGGGAATAGGAGGGGATTAGAAGCGTTTGTCGAGTCTTTCAATGTAAAAAATTCTGAAGAGAGGACTTACCTCGATGAGCTGCCGATGCTGCTGATGCTAGCCCCATCGGCTCCTCTCCTCTGCTGGGATACGTCACCGTCCGTAATGTCGTACTCGGACGTGTCCGAGTCGCTCAATCTGGACGTCGTCGACGGTGGGCTCAGGTGACAGTCAACCGGGGTTATCGCGATGTCGTCGGACGGCTCCTGGTACTGCCTGCAGGGGTGGCAGAGCATCGATTAGAATTTTTCGTATTACGGTTGGGGGAAAAAAAAATAAATGGGTGGAGAAAATGGTGCGGGGGAGGGCTGGGGCAGTCACGTACCCGATGTGACGTCTGTCGTCGTGGGCAAGCAAGTAGTGCCACTGTGGTGTCTCGGGGAGGTAAGCGAGCTCGACAATCGCTTCACCGAGAAAGTCATTTGCCCCGTACCTGACGTTATCCCAAACAGTAACCTCCAACGATTTGTACTTGAGCTCCGAGAACTTTCTCACGTTGTAGACAAATGTCTCGTTCCACTGAGGGGCATTCGTGTTCGCCACTGTTTTCGTTCTTCTCTTCGTTCCTTCACTGGGTTTTTAGAATAGAGAGCTTTGATTATTGGATTTTTTTGCTAGTTGGGGGATGTTCGCAAACAATCCAAATTGTCATCATTTTTTTTTTCATGGTAACCGGCAAGTTTCGTTAGCACCCGTGATGGAAAATTAATGGAAAATATTGGGCGCTTTTTATTGGTATAATAAAAAGTATAGTGGAAACGTATTGGGATGTCATGAGCCACTGGGTTTTTTATTTTTTGTAACTACTGAGTTTTTACGGTTTGTCGGAATAAGTGAGGACAAGTATTTGCCATTTCTCGTTCATTTTTTTTGCATTTCTTGATTTCGACAACGAAAATCTGGGGGTTTACTGCTGGATCTTCTCAGAATATTAATAATTTTTAACGTATCTTAAAAAATATTTTCAAATCTTAATATAATGTAAATTAGTCTTTCAAGAGATGTTAAATGAAATCAAGAAACTGTTAGAAACTGTTAACAGTTTCAAAAGAATTCCCTTAAATTCCTCAATTTTACAAGTTTTCTCTTGAAAAAATTTGAATTCGACTCAAAATTTCTCTTATAATTCCTCTAATCCTTCCGCAGCATGATTTTTTTATTTTTGAGCTTATCCGCAAAAAAAATTATAAATTCAGGTCAAGTGGAAAAATTTATATTTTATCCTCAAGAGGACATTGTAACAAAGACAATCTTTCCCTGATGAGTCATCAAACTTTCGCCGAAAACGAGATGAAAAAATAATGTCGACGTATCTCGATACCGTACAACCAATTACCAGTGTATGACGGCAAGAGAGCGTTGAGAAAATCCGGCGTCCAGTTAATGGAAGGATTTGTAAAGTTAACGAAAGCAGGAAAAGTTTCCCTTCGCACGCCGCCATTAGGGCAGAGACTCGCGTATAAAGCGACGGGAGCGTTGGCACCAGTGCCAAAATTGCCCGAGGAGGGTGGGAAAACACGACCACCCATCCTCCCCCCCTTGCCACCCGACTTTCCCCCCTCTTTTCACCACCCACATCACCAGAAAATCTGGAGCCAACCCCCCGACGGTGCCGAGATAGCTCCTTCGGAGGAGAATTATTTATTCCCGCTGCGCTACGACCCTGACGATAGTGATGTTCACCCACGCGAATAAGATGTCACGTACAAAAAATTTTACGTCAATTTTCATTTCTGTGGAGAGGACGTAAGGAAAATCTTGGTTTTGGAGTCGAGTTTGGAGGAGAAGTTTTCTAATAATGTTAAAGTGAAACTGGGGAAGTAAAATTTGAAGTCAAATCGCTCGGGGAGGAAAATTATTGATTCAAAAATCGTCGGAGGGAAGGAATTTTTTATGCAATTTAGTAATGCATTGGGGGAAGAGATCGGGTTAAATGTGGAAGTTGTATCGAGCTGATGGAATCTCTCTCAAACTTCGAGATTATTAGTTTGGAGTGAAATTCAGAGAGAGCTTCAAAGATGTGACGATTAATATGTGACGAACAATCCAATTTACATAAGGTTATTATAATTATTGATTATTTTTGAATAAATTTCCGAAAGAGCTTCAAAGATGTTCAGCCACGCGATTAAGATGTGGCGGAATAAAATTTACATAAAATTTTCCTTCGGCGGGGGAGGACATGAGAAAAGTCTTGGATTTGGAGTCGATTTTGGAGGAGAAGTGTTCTAATAATGTTGAAGTGAAACTGGGGAAGTAAAATTTGAAGTCAAATCGCTCGGGGAGGAAAATTATTGATTCAAAAATCGTCGGAGGGAAGGAATTTTTTATGCAATTTAGTAATGCATTGGGGGAAGAGATCGGGTTAAATGTGGAAGTTGTATCGAGCTGATGGAATCGCTCTCAAACTTCGAGATTATTAGTTTGGAGTGAAATTCAGAGCGAGCTTCAAAGATGTGACGATTAATATGTGACGAACAATCCAATTTACATAAGGTTATTATAATTATTGATTATTTTTGAATAAATTTCCGAAAGAGCTTCAAAGATGTTCAGCCACGCGATTAAGATGTGGCGGAATAAAATTTACATAAAATTTTCCTTCGGCGGGGGAGGACATGAGAAAAGTCTTGGATTTGGAGTCGATTTTGGAGGAGAAGTGTTCTAATAATGTTGAAGTGAAACTGGGGAAGTAAAATTTGAAGTCAAATCGCTCGGGGAGGAAAATTATTGATTCAAAAATCGTCGGAGGGAAGGAATTTTTTATGCAATTTAGTAATGCATTGGGGGAAGAGATCGGGTTAAATGTGGAAGTTGTATCGAGCTGATGGAATCGCTCTCAAACTTCGAGATTATTAGTTTGGAGTGAAATTCAGAGCGAGCTTCAAAGATGTGACGATTAATATGTGACGAACAATCCAATTTACATAAGGTTATTATAATTATTGATTATTTTTGAATAAATTTCCGAAAGAGCTTCAAAGATGTTCAGCCACGCGATTAAGATGTGGCGGAATAAAATTTACATAAAATTTTCCTTCGGCGGGGGAGGACATGAGAAAAGTCTTGGATTTGGAGTCGATTTTGGAGGAGAAGTGTTCTAATAATGTTGAAGTGAAACTGGGGAAGTAAAATTTGAAGTCAAATCGCTCGGGGAGGAAAATTATTGATTCAAAAATCGTCGGAGGGAAGGAATTTTTTATGCAATTTAGTAATGCATTGGGGGAAGAGATCGGGTTAAATGTGGAAGTTGTATCGAGCTGATGGAATCGCTCTCAAACTTCGAGATTATTAGTTTGGAGTGAAATTCAGAGCGAGCTTCAAAGATGTGACGATTAATATGTGACGAACAATCCAATTTACATAAGGTTATTATAATTATTGATTATTTTTGAATAAATTTCCGAAAGAGCTTCAAAGATGTTCAGCCACGCGATTAAGATGTGGCGGAATAAAATTTACATAAAATTTTCCTTCGGCGGGGGAGGACATGAGAAAAGTCTTGGATTTGGAGTCGATTTTGGAGGAGAAGTGTTCTAATAATGTTGAAGTGAAACTGGGGAAGTAAAATTTGAAGTCAAATCGCTCGGGGAGGAAAATTATTGATTCAAAAATCGTCGGAGGGAAGGAATTTTTTATGCAATTTAGTAATGCATTGGGGGAAGAGATCGGGTTAAATGTGGAAGTTGTATCGAGCTGATGGAATCGCTCTCAAACTTCGAGATTATTAGTTTGGAGTGAAATTCAGAGCGAGCTTCAAAGATGTGACGATTAATATGTGACGAACAATCCAATTTACATAAGGTTATTATAATTATTGATTATTTTTGAATAAATTTCCGAAAGAGCTTCAAAGATGTTCAGCCACGCGATTAAGATGTGGCGGAATAAAATTTACATAAAATTTTCCTTCGGCGGGGGAGGACATGAGAAAAGTCTTGGATTTGGAGTCGATTTTGGAGGAGAAGTGTTCTAATAATGTTGAAGTGAAACTGGGGAAGTAAAATTTGAAGTCAAATCGCTCGGGGAGGAAAATTATTGATTCAAAAATCGTCGGAGGGAAGGAATTTTTTATGCAATTTAGTAATGCATTGGGGGAAGAGATCGGGTTAAATGTGGAAGTTGTATCGAGCTGATGGAATCGCTCTCAAACTTCGAGATTATTAGTTTGGAGTGAAATTCAGAGCGAGCTTCAAAGATGTGACGATTAATATGTGACGAACAATCCAATTTACATAAGGTTATTATAATTATTGATTATTTTTGAATAAATTTCCGAAAGAGCTTCAAAGATGTTCAGCCACGCGATTAAGATGTGGCGGAATAAAATTTACATAAAATTTTCCTTCGGCGGGGGAGGACATGAGAAAAGTCTTGGATTTGGAGTCGATTTTGGAGGAGGTGTTCTAATAATGTTGAAGTGAAACTGGGGAAGTACAATTTGAAGTCAAATCGCTCGGGGAGGAAAATTATTGATTCAAAAATAGTTGAAGGGAAGGAATTTTTTATGCAATTTAGTAATACATTCGGGGAGACGACCAGGTTAAATGTGAAATTTTTATTGAGCTAGTGAAGTATCTCCCAAACTTTGAAATTATTTCAATTACGACTGATCTCAACATGCAACTTCAAAAGACCTTGCGCATAAAAGTCTCCATAAAATGTCTGACTCAACATTGACTTCACCACTGACAAAATTCAGGATTAAAACCCCCCTCGGCATTAAGTTCCCCCCAAAATAACGGTTTGTTAATCATTTTCAACGAACTAAATCGCGTAATAATCCTCACCTTTTGTCCGGAAGCAGATAGATCCTCGCATAAGCATGCCTCAACTGTCCATTGACCCTCTTCTGCAGATCGCTGGCGCAAATAACGTCAACATTAAGCTCACAACGATTATAATCATATCTCAGATGCAGTTGCAGTCGTCCCCCCACATTAGGATCGCCCGTTGGATGCCGCTGATGTCTAGCCCTGCCCTGTGCATTGAGATCTGGCGAGCCAGGAGAAGTCACCAGCACCGATGGTTTATCTCTCCTCACATCATAAAGCTCTGCAAAGTGCATCACTCACTTCATTAAAACATCCCCCAAAAACTTCTCCCAAAACTTGAAAAAACAATTCCACACACAGAAGTGGGTAACAGTGACAGACAGGAGAATTAAAATTCATTGCATCTCCTTACGAGCAAAAATTTTCAATTTCCATTCTCGCGCCGTCTGATTTATCCCAAATAAGGGGGAAATACGAGGGGAAGATTAACTTCAGCTGTCTCAATAGAAGAGTGAAAGTTGAGATAAGAAAAAATCAACCAGAACCACATCACCAGGGGGGAGAATGAGGGATCAGGGGAGGTGGGGCGGGAGGGATTGCTTACAATTCTCGCACAGCTGCAAATCGATTTCAGAGGACAGGGATATTCCTCTCGGGGCTCTCAAATAAACACGGAAATCGATTGCTCGGCAGACAGAAGGAGGGCGAGAGATAGTGGGGCCTGACTAAAGATTTACGACAGAGAAAGAAAAGACTGAGGAGGACAAAAAGTGAAGTAAAAAAACGAGCCGAGGACCAAAGAAAACGAAGAGAGTGAGGGCTGAAAAACTGTGTCGCAGTGAAAATGGAGAATACGTATGGGACTGAGGGAAAAAATAAACTGTATTTATAGATTCTCTTTCTTTGCTCTATTTTCGGATTTATAGTTTTTTTTGTGGCGTCACAGAGTTGTTGCTCCCATAAGGCTAGTTCAAAGAATGGTGATTTAGCGGGGGTGCAGTTGCACTACTCTACTACTACAGAACATCCAGTTTAAAGATTTTTTCTCTGATTTTTCAGGGTGAAATTAGTTTGAAAAACATGTTTTTCGGGTTTTCTGGTTTGGGGGCTGATAATTGCTCAGGGGGATCAACACTTAGGGGAGAGGAGGTAAGTTAATACATTTTGAAGGCCTACCCCATAGTATACATTTCTTAAGACCTGGAATGCGAAAAATCATATAATCTGTGACAGTTTAGCAGATTCAGGGCTACAGGCGTTTTGTGCAATTGATCTAGATGTTTTTTTTTCTTTTTATTCGGTTGGTTTTGGGGGAATGAGTTAGTGTTGGAGGCAATTGTTAGTCACTCTGGTTTGTCTCGTTTAGTGTACATCTAAGTCAATCGATCCATCGATTTTTGGAGATAATGTTTACCTTTGTGGTGAGGCTGGTGGGGCACTGGCATGGGCTCGTGCTTCTGTCTCCACTGAGTCTGCGCTGTTATGCGACGAGATGTCATTGGCATTATGGTGGTGGGCATGCCGGTCATCATTGGTGTACTTGCTGGGCCGGAGAGACTTCTCGAGACGAATAATTCTACCTGGGATTCGTCCCTCGATGCTGCTATTATGTCGTAAACTTCTTGAAATGATTTACCTTGGAGGCAGTGGCCGTTCCACTCGATCACCTCGTCCCCTGGGGGTCAAATATTTTTATGATTGGGGGAGAATTGTGATGTTCGGGAGATTCAAGTGGAACAATTTTAGGGAATTCGAGGGTTTTGAAAATTTAGATTTTTTTTGCAATCCGATTGACTAATTATTTTTATTGTAAATTTTCGGTAAAAATGTCCGATGACGTGAGGATGTGAAGAATCGATTTAATGACACATAACAGAAATTTCTCAATTCAAGTTGTTGAAAAAATTTTCCTGGCGTATTGAATTTAATTTTTCTGTGAGACAACTTATTTTTGTTTAGACTTCTGCCTTAAAATTTCTTAAACATACAATTTCCCAGTTTTTCCGCTGCATTTTGTATTCTTTTTCATCGCAAAAATAAAAAATCAAACGTTATAAAATTCATGCGCAAGAATTTAAAAAAAATCCCTAAAGAACAAGTTTCATTTCTTTTCAAAAAATTCCACTGCTAAATTATGCAATTTCAATGAAATTTTTGAAAAATACACGGGCTTTTCTCTTGCGAATCAATTGCAGTCGCTGATATATTCTCTCCAACTGAATCAACAATTCTTTAAATCCGCCAGTTCTGTAACATTCACCCAATCTCCCTGATTCAATACCCCGATCTGTCCGATTTACATCTCCACTGTCGTATCAAACGAGATTGATCAATTATCCAAGCTTTACCTGGCCTCAACTGTCCCTCGACATCGGCGGCACTCCCCTTCTTCACCTTCTCGATGAGTGCCCCAACTCTATCGTCATCCAGTAGCTTTCCTCCCACAACCTTGAGCCCGAGGATACTACTGCTCCCGGACGCTGACTTCCTCAGGATCATGTGGCCAATTGTCTTCTGCCCATCACTACTCCCCTGCCACGACAACGGTTGCTACAGGATAATTCCAGAAAGAATAGATAATGAGGAGATGATTCTCACTGCTCTGGGGAGGCTCAGAGGATTCGGCAAACAATCGTCTCCCTTGGGCTCTAATTTCACCATATGTTTGGCAAATCCTCACATTTAGTCACACAGACCCCGTAAAAATTAGTGAACAAAATACTGTACAATTTTTCAAGGGTAGTCAACATCAATGCATCAATCCAAAGCCATTCTTCGATTTAACAAATGCACAAAAAGCAGAGGACCTGATCAATGATTAATCATCAAATGAAACAATGTACCATGCGAAATGAACCAAAATACGTTCTGTGTGTTGTAGCTGATGCATGTTAAGCAGGCGTGCGGGGAAAATTGAAATCCAGTGGATTATCATGTTCTAAGAATCCGGGGGTGACTCGAGGATACTAAGCCCTATCGGGTGGATCTACTTTAGGGATAGGGGTCGGCCTCAACTCATTGCATCAATTCATTGGATTTGCTCAGCTCAATCCACTTGTCTATTTTTCTTATTCATCTCTACAGTGGCGGGGTCTCGAGTCTCGTATCTTCCACGATTTTTTGCTTCCGAGCACGGAGAAAAAAGTTGAAGAAAAATTACCGAATAAGTCATGAGAAATGCGAAGAGATGGGGAATTTTTCTCCGATGACGCGAGAAAATTTAACAAACCCGAGGGTAATTCCGGCCGAAACTGTGAAATTTATCATTCGTGGGATTTTTTTAGTCAACTTTTCTCTCCGTGCAGAGTGCGCTAATTATTCAGAGAAAAATCTATAACTTATTTCGGAGTTGTAGAACATCCTTTTTACAGGACCTATATCGCTGACACAAGCAACACTCTTGGTTTATTACTATTATTATTCGTGAGTTGACAAAAATATGGAAATGAAAATTGAAAGATGTTTCTTTCTAAAACAAGGAATAGATTCTTTTCTGTACAAGAGAGATATCATTCACCAATTTCAATACGGAGGAGAGTTTTTAGGTTCAGAAATATGTCACTGATTTTCAGATACCCATTCCTAATTTTTATACAGAGAGAAATTCTTTAGAAAAATTCTAGTGCAATATCGGAGAAATTACAATGTACTATGAACAATTCTAGTATTTTTTAAGTAAAAGTTCTGGAGATTTCCGGGGAAATTTATTCAATAAGAGAAGAATTGTCAGCACTAGAATTTTTCTAAAGAATTTCTTTCCATGAAGAAATCAACTGTGAAATTCAACGAGTACGAAATTCTGAAATTCAGTAATTTTATCACCAATTTCTAGTGGTACTATCACTCATTACGATTGACACAGTCACTCATTATCAGCGACCCTTCTCTAATTTTTAGGAGTGCATCACGAAACGTCACAGATAAAAGTCTCCGATGATTGTGCTATTCTAGTTAATGCCCACACTGTCACAAATTTTTGTCTGAAATTTCCGGAACACTTTTTGGAAATATTTATCGAATTTAATTACCACTGAAATTTCAAGGAATTTCGTAATTGAAGATTCAGAATCTCGTGGAAAAATCGAAGAGAACTGTAAACTTCAGTTGCATTTTTCCCCGACAATAAATAGAAAACCAGAAAATTCCGCTCAATATATTCTCGAATATATTTAGATTCACTGAAAATTCAATGTAATTTGGCACTGAATATTCATATTAAACTGGAAATTTCAATAAATTGAGGAATTTTCGTCTTTTTGCTGCTTAAAATTCTAGAATTTTACTGAATTTCCAGTGAAACCTGAAATTTCATGATTTTCCCCCCTAAAACGCATTCAGTGTCACTGTCCTGAAAATTACTAGTCAACTCTCCACGAAAATTCATTTCTTTTCTAACAGTGCAGTACCACCAAAGATTGCCGAGAGATTCTTGAAAATCAGCGGTATATTCCAACTACTTCGTGATCCAAATGACTTTTGCACTGCGGTACTTTTCTTGGAACTCCCACTGTATCCGGACTTTGTCAAGGAGAGAAAATAAAAAAATACATGGCAAGGAGAATCCCGTCTGCTTCCAGATCGTCTCGACTCTCTGCCAAAAACCCCCGGAAGTCTCGAGGGTCAGCTACATAATTTTCCGACTATTTCTCATTTCCGGACGAAAAAAAACGTCAAAAAAAAATTGAGACGACTAAAGGTGAATTGAGTGCCTCCGGGTCGACCAAAGGATGAATTTTTGGCGTGCCCAACCCACCCCTGACGCATTGCACAGCCAATTTAGCGTTGTTAATATTTTTATCAATCTCTCTCCTTCACAAAGCTCTGGATCCCGTGCTATCGTTAATTGGAATCGGGTTAAGCATCCTGGCAGACGATTTCAATTTTCACTCGCGAAGAAATGGGAGGAAAAGTACCGGCGGTGGCAAGTTGAAAAAAAAAATTCAATCCTCAATTAACAATAGCATTTTATCAACCATTGAATTAATCGCCCTTCTCTTCCAATTAACCCATTTCCCCCCTGACCCCCCGGGATATCTCTCCAGTGGTTCATGAATAAATGTGCAAAAAAAGTTATTCAATCTCCTATCCTATTTTCCAGCGTTAAAGTATTGGAAAATAAAAATTGTTGAACTCCTCTGGTTAAATGGAAGATGAATTTTGCAACTCGCAGACTACAACTCAAAAACTAATGAAAAAATTCGTTGTATGCTTGGCTCCAACTACTTGAACTCTAACATTGCGTCTCATTATTTGGTTTTTGTCACGTTTTTTGTGGTTTTTTTTCCACTGAGAGTTTGTACCTTTGGTAAATCACCACGATTGCTGTCTTCACTGCTTGTGAATGTACTTGATGTATCTATTCCTGAGTCTTTGGTTGCGCTGTCTTGGCTACCTTGACGATCCGCCTCCCAAGACCAGTCCTCCTGTGAGCCAGCTACATTGGTCCCACCGTCGAATCTCACTGTCTTTTTCCCCCTCCTCTCAGTGAACCTTAATTAATTATTTTTGTTTTTTCTCTCTTCGCTTTTTTACTTTATTTATTTATCTATTTATTTATTTATTTCTGACGCGTGCGCACTCATTCCTCTCGGATTGACTTTTTTATTTGGGAAAAATCCCTTTTCTCCGCACATTTGTTCGCTTTTTTTCTGCTATTTCTCAATGCTTTGTCTCTCACTCGCAGGCCGAGAACGGCTATCTCGTCAAGTCAATTCGATTCCGGGGTATACGAGAGTGCACGACCTCCGGCGGCTGCTCTTCCACCCACATTTATGGATTCCTCTGTCCTTTCAATTTATCCATCGATCGTTCCATCCTTTACGCTTGCTTTTCTCTTGTTATTTTCTATTAGCTTTTTTTACCTCTCTGAGCCTCTTTGGTTAACGAGCTTCAAATTCATATCAAACGTCTTTTGCCCAGGGTCAATTTATTCTCTGATAATTTGTGAGGGAGAGGAATTTTTTAAAATTGTTTCGAGATTTTTTGCTTTCACGAGCTAAGCCGTCCTCGACTCTGCTCTCCTCTCTCTCTCTCATACACTTCAGTTTCTTTCTCTCACGAGTGAAATAGAACAGGGATAAATGGAGTCAAAGGAATTTTAATTGTAAATCAAAAGAACTGAACTTCTTAAAATAAATTGAATCGTTTGTGACGTAAAACGAGAAGTCCAAGATTTTTGTTAGAATTGTTTTGCAAATATCTCGTAAACTAATAGATTTAGCGAAAAATGTCATTTAATTGTTTTCGGAAATTATAAAATTTCCCACAAAAAAGTTTTATTCACTTTTTCCACTGAACCCATTATCTTCTGAGATATCTGCATAATAATCAGGAGCAAATTTTTCAAAACTTCTCGTTTCATCACTTGAACTGAGGTGAGCGTAGCACCGCCTTCTTATTTTTTTTATTCGTGTGTTTAATGCAATAATTAATCCGGAAAAATTAATCCTCTGCCTCACATTTTTTCTTTGATAGCAATTAAAAATCCTAAATCCCAAATTATACCGTAACAACTCTAGATTAACCGATAACTGACCCTAGATTACATCGTAACAAACCAAAAATATATAATTTTCTTCAGAAAAATTGTGAGATACACAGGCGACGCCGGACTCATCGCGTCAGTTCAAAAAACTGAACCAGGGTAGCGATTATGAACTAAAAAGTGCTGCGACGACTCGCACTTGTAAAAAATTTTTGTCTGAATTTTCCGTGCCAAATTCCGCAAATTTTTATCGTGTTGAAATTTCACTGAAATTTCAGGAAATCTTGTCACAGAAATTTCAGAATTTAGTGGAGAATTCAAATAGAACTGTAAATTTCCGTTCCATTTTTCCCTGAAAATGAGTGGAAAACCAGAAAATTCTGGTAAATATTCTTAAATTTTCAGGACAGCGACACTGAATGCGATTTAGGGGGGGTAAAATCATGAAATTTCAGATTTCACTGAAAATTCAATGTAATTTGACACTGAATATTCATATTAGATTGGAAATTCAAATGAATTAAGGAATTGTCGTGTTTATGCCGCTTAAAATTTTGGAATTTCATTTAATTGTCAGTGAAATCTGAAATTTCATTATTTTTTTCCCTATTCAGTGCCACTATTCTGAAAATTGGTGGTCAACTGTCCATGAAATTTCATTTTTTTTCTAACAGTGCGTGTCAGTCGAATGATTTTTTTTTCTACTCATTCTTCAAATGGAGGGCCATAATTGGCTCACCAGATGAGAGACGGAAAATCATTATCACAGCAAAAACGAATATCCAAATTTCCCGCATTTTTTGTAGACGTCTTTCAGGCACTGAAAAACGTCTGACTAAAATGAAAATTTGTTTGTTCTTCTGAAATTCAGGCAAATTTTCATTTTAGTTCATTTGTTCGTCTGAAATTCAGACAAAGTTTCATTTTAGTCAGACGCTTTTTAGTTTCGAAAAAAATGAAAACAGAAATGAAACCTTTCAAAATGAAAATGAAAAAATGAAGATTTGTCTATTCGTCTGAATTTCAGACATTCATTTTTGCTGTGATATTGGACTGCACGGAGCGAAATATTCAATAAAAATTACGTATCTTGTCCGTAATTCCGGAGCGAAATATAGTTGTAGGAAATTTCACAGACCGTCACGGAATTTTTCCAGAGCGTTCCGTAATTTTTATCTGAATCGCCGGTGAAAAATTACGATAGTGAGTTCCGTAATTTTTACTGAACATTTCTCTCCGTATGGCGCGTGCCGTCGCAGCACGTGTTCGTTCCTAATCACTGCCCCGAACTGAAGAGTAAAAAAAATGAAAAATCAAAATGAATAAAAAAAAAACGCACCTCCGACTGTCGGCGCGCCACTCGTCGCCGCTTCTTCGGAAGCTCCTCCTCACGAGGGTACTCTCCTCTTTTCGAGGCTCTCGCGGTGGGTGATGGCCATTGTACTCAATGGCCATGGAGCCAGTAACATGATGTCCATTGTGAGATCCGTGTCTACGAGAACCGCCGGACATCGAAGATGTGCCTCCCCCGTGATGATAGTACCCCTTCCCTACAGTAGATCCAAGAACTCCTAGTTTCTCTCTCTCTAGCACTCATTTAAATTAATTGTAATGATAATTCTAGGTTTACTAAGTAATTCTCTCCCTATCTACACTATCGCACGCATCGGGGGGCTGAAAGAATTTTTCTTTAAATCTCTGATGCATTGATTCGAAATTGTATTGCGGCACTGATTGCATTTGTGTAGCGACCTGTGGGAAATGGTAATAATTATGTTTATTCATGGAAGACATTAACATACAGTGTGTGCGGATATAGAGAACTGTGCGGACGTCCTGACGGCGGACCAAGAGCTCAGGGTGGAAGGTTGAAAAGCGTGAAATATCGTGTTTGTGGAGCAGTTTCATTGTTTCGTTCTGGTCTGATGTATTCGATTTTCTAGGAGTTGGTGAATGTTTTAATTGAAACTTTGAGCGGGGGAGTTGCATTGTATGGAATAATTCGTTTATTTTAGGTAGAATTAATTATCTCTGAGTTGAATAATTTTGTACAGATTATGAATTTTAGGGGAGACTGCGGGGAAACTCGAAAATTGCAGGGAATTTTCCCTACCGTGTTGATGATTTTAGTACTCATATTTTGTTTACGCAAAAAATGAGAAAAAATCGAGTTATCATTTGTTTTATTGACGGTATCGGGTCGTACAAGTATAAAATCTTTAAAATAGTCCCCTTAACAGGTTTTTTGGTAGATTGACTTGATATTGGTTTCCACATACATAATACAGTGACGAAAAAAATACGGGAGCTTTTTTGAAAATTCATTTACTTTAATTTTAATCATTCATTTCACAAAACTGCGACACTAATGATTAAAAAAATGAATAAATGAAAAATTTTAGTTCATGGTGTGCTGTGGACTTCAATTTGCACAATACTAAAATACTATTGTCTCCACCATTTCTGAGAAAAGATATCGAAAATTGGAATTTAAAAAAAAAACTTTTTTTTTTCGTCAATTTGACTTGACGTCAACGATTGACTTGAATTTTGGTTTCGACATATCATAAAACTCTATCACATAAAAATATGTGGGTTTTTGAAAATCCATTCACTTTAATTTTAATCATTCATTTTACAAAACTGCCACACAAATGATTACAAAAAAAATTGTAGTTCATGGTGTGTCGTGGACTTCAATTTGCACGATACTAGAATACTATTGTCTCTACCAATTCTGCGAAAAAAAAATAGAAAAAATAAAAAAATCGCAATTTTTTAAAAATCACATTTTTTTGTCAATATATTATTTGCGTGGAAAGCAAAATTCGAGTCAATCCATCAAAAATCCTGGTAAGGGGGCTATTCTAAAGAATTTATGCCTGTACAGCCAACTGCCACCATAAAAAAAATTGAAATATGATTTTTTCTCATTTTTTGAGTGTAAAAAATAAGCACCAAAATCCTCTGTGTGATAGAGACAACCCCCTGCAACTTTCAAATTTCACCGCGGTCTCCCCTTAATATGTAAAAATAATACGGAGAAATATCAAGAGGCAATATTTCTAAAACATTAAATTTTATTGAATAATTGCAAAAAATTATTTTGGAAAATCAGTAAAATTATAACTGTATCTTCCGTTCAATATGCATGTGTGTCGTATTTTCCAGTTGTTCTTGTGTATTTTAGAGAAGGATTTAATAAATAGATATCAATAAGAGAGAAAGTGTTAGTGTACCTCAGAGTGCAGAAACAGTGATCAGATTTAATGAAGTTTTGATTGAGATCAAGTTTACACAGACAGTGATGAAAAAGTGAAGAACAGATTTTTATGCACTTCAGTACATGGGGAAGACACGCATGCACCCCCACACCCACGATGTACACATAGTAAATATTGAAATGGTGAAAATAAGATTAAAAGTATCCCAATGAGTGGAGAATGTCTGAGGCAATTTTAGGAGCAAATCTGCGAGCGATGGGAAATGAATAATGAGCAGATCAAATTTCAAACGACGATTATCAACAATATGGAGTAATATATAATTCGTGACACTGATCGATTGAGTTTTTTTTTGGGTTGTAAAAATACCGCGAGAAATTTCTTCATCTTCTCGTCCAGCATCGCTTGACGATTTATTCTGTCTCCTGCTTTGTCCCTTGGACTCCTCGGATTCGCCACTATTGGCGCCAGTTTCTCACCTAGAATCGCGTGGTTAGTTAAGGCTCATTATTCAATGAAATTGCAAAAATTTGGTTTTGATTTTTTTGTTGATTAATGTGATTATTTTCACTATTTTTAGGCATTTGACATCTCATCTGTTTAATCTTCGAAATCTCAGAGTTTCACTGAAAATTACTAGCAACCGGTGCAAAATATTTCACGAAATCCTCTGTAATTCAATGACAATAATTTTGCAAATCTCCCTGCGGTTCTCAACTTTGAATTCCCTTGACTCCCCACTGAAATTTCAAATTCCATCAAATTTAACACCGTTCTCCTAAAAACTCCTACTAAACCACCCATAGAATTTCAATTTTTCCAACAGTTGACTGCAAACGATTCGTTTTACCTCCCTCTCCCCTAAATCCTAGTTCATTCTGATGACCGAAAGGAATTCGGATTTTACGTTTTCGTTTGATCGCCGAAAAAAAAAGTGTTGAATCCCCCCCAGAAGGATAAAACGCAGATTTTCGTTCACGACTCATCAGCACGTGACTCTGGAACCGAGACTGCGATAAGGGCCAATAAAAATGACAAATTGAAGGCACGATCGGTGCACGGCCGGCTTCCGTATGCATCGCGTGTTACTCCCTCTAGCCCCCTCCCCCGCGCGCTCTTAACCCTCCCCCATATTAGAATATTCCACTGTGTATCAGTGACAATGGCTGTGTGTATGTGCGAGTTTGCACGTGCGCGATGTCCGTAATTCCCGCTACCATTTTCATCCTTCTTTCTCCCATTCCCCCTCC